AAATGTGGGTTTCCTGCTGCTGGGGAAAGGGATAGAGACCAAGTTTTCCCTGCAATATCATCAAACCCTTCTAAAAAAAACAAATTTCCTCGGTGCTAATTCAGACCTTAGCCTGCAAAATAGCAGTTGTATCTGGTAACATTACACAATTTCACACAGTAAGAGGCCTGAGTCCTGGGGAGAGAGAGTTTCTCTCCTGGAGACACGCTAGCTAGACTGTGGGGGGTGGTTGAATTTGTGTCTGCTCTAATGATTTCAGTTGAAGAGGAAGTGTGTCTTCTCAGCCTCTGATTTCCTCCCGCTGACAAAAAAGCCCATATAAGGTAAAGAGTGGTGTTGTCCTGTGAGAGGGGAACTAATTTGTCGCTAAGCCTACTGTTCTAGAGTCTTGCTTTGCTCTGTGTCGTGATCCATTTTTTGAATCTGGAGTGTGTGTGTGTGTGTGTGTGTGTGTGTGTGTGTATATATATGTATATGTGTGTATGTGTGTGTATATGTATATGTGTGTGTATGTGTGTATGTGTGTATGTGTATGTGTGTGTGCATGTATATGTGTGAGTGTATATGTGTGTATGTATATGTGTGTGTATGTATATGTGTGTATGTGTGTATGTATATGTGTGTGTGTATATGTATGCATGCATGTATGTATGTATGTATCTATCTATCTATATTTCACTAAAGACCTGCCTTTAATGCACCCAACCTCCTAACTTTGTGGCCTTTTCTGTATTTCTCTGATATGCCCGTTTCTCCCATTCTACCCACCTTCCCAGTCTCTCCTTATCTCCTCAAGATTTAAGTTTTGGGAAGGGACTTGACTCTTATCACAATAAAATGAAAGAAAATAACATCTTCATTTTTACATTTTTGGGGGGCGAGGAGATGCTTATTTAAAAGAATCAGATTTAAGCTAAAATTATATGTTTAACAGTGGAATTCCTAGCATTATTCGGGAGGTCTTAGATTGCTTCTTGCCTTCAGGTAAGTTCTATAGCTGATAGAAGATCAATACTTGCTCTGATGTTGAGACTGTATAAATAGTACAATTCCAGAAGCATACAGCTTGCTTCTTAATATTTCCAACTTTTCACATGAATACTAATTCTCCTGCTATCATGTACAGATAAAAATCGGAAGTAAATATGATACAAGTAAATACATCCAGTACTTATGCCCGCATTTCGTCAATGAAATAGGCAGAAGTTGGGGTTTTCATTAAGCATCGTAAATACTATGAACCCTGAGAGCTGTGATGTATGAGCTGGTCCCACAAATGTATCTCCTGGGTTCACCTTACTAGGGTTTCCTCCTGCTGGGGCAAGGAACAAAGGGCAAGTTTCCCCAGTGATAGCATTAGCTCTCTTTGAACAGAACAGATGTGTCCACTTACCGGTGAGGTCCATGGTGATTGGTCCTGGGGCACTTTCACAAACCAGGGTAAGGCGGGTGACAGTGACATTGGGGGCTGTTGGGTCTGCAGAATTCAAAAGGGGTGGCAAAATAATGCGGAAATCATGTCTAGCAAGAGAATGGCATGTGTATGGTGTGTGTGTGTGTGCGCGCGCGTGTGTGTGTGTGTGTGTGTGCGTTCCAAGTAGGAGAGAACATATCTGCAGTAGAAATAGACATGGAAATGGATGATTCACCTTGCTTGGTCTTAATAAATTACAGCAATACCATTTCTGTTTCAGGTACTTATAGGTCCATCTTAATTATCAACAGTTAAACATTTCTTGAGTGGTTATGGTAAGGTATTCTACTAGTTGGGCACTGCTCATCCATATCTTTGGGCCATGTCTTAGTCTGTCATTGTGTTTATGGAAGAGATGAAAGGTTAGGTGAGGAGTGAGGAGAAGAAAGAGAAGGAGAGAAAATGTGAATGAGAATGGAGAGAAAGAATAAGTGGCAGTCTGAAATTCTTTCTATTAATGAGTCCTCCCTATGTGTTATTTT